TTCTGCATTCTATTCTATTCTGCATTCTATTTTATTCTGCATTCTATTTTATTCTATTCTGCATTCTATTTTATTCTATCCTATTCTGCATTCTATTCTATTCTGCATTCTATCCTATCCTATATTCTATTCTATTGAGCATTCTATTTTATTCTGCATTCTATTCTGCATTCTATTCTATTCTATTCTGTAGTCTGTATCCTATTCTACTCTATTCTTGTTTCTATTTCTATTCCCCTTCCCTTCCACTCTACTACACTCTATTCTTAGCCTTGGGCTTCTCTTTTCAGAGATATCCACCCGCCTTCTCTCGTTACCTGATGGAAGTCATCTTCATCATCAGAGAGACCTTCAAAAAGAAATCCTCCTGGATGAGAGAGAAGGAGAGAGAAAGAAACCACATGTCAGGGTTCCGGTGATTGCCCTAATTAAATCATGAGCCTCGAGGCAACCTTCGAAAGAATCCAAAAGATTTATTATGAGCAACACGTCCAGCACTAACCTATATGAAGCCAACTCTGAGACATGTAATTTATTATCACCTATGACTCTGTTTTCCCCCACCCTCCTGAGTGTGTCATAAATCAGATTCTCCAAACACATTCACTGGGCTGGGTGTCATCAATCACTCTCTCCAATGAAGGATTTTTGAAGGATTGTAGCCTAGGCTACAATCTTTGTAAGATAAGCATGGAATGTGTTTCTGGTTTTAATTGCCGTACTGCTCCTTCAGGGTCCCCCCCCCCTTCCTTCTTATGACAACTCGGAAACAGGCATAGGAATGCTTTACGAGTTGACACCACACTGAACCTCATCCCAAAGTCAGGTATCTCCCACCAGACACCAAAGGCCAAGAGCTGCAATTTCAGTGACCGGACATAAACACCATTCATTCAACGCTACTATCACTTCATATGTTCTTTAGACAAACAGTCCTTAAGCGAGGACTCCCTGTAGTCCCCCAAATGTTACATCTGGCAATTTGTGCTCCATGTCATAGCGTGTGCCTTACCTGGCATGTCACGGTAGGAGCTGGAAGGCATGCTGCTACGCGAGGAGGTCTCTGCAGTGGGAACCGGGGCGCTGCCTGCCACAGAATGGAGGACCAGGACAATGGCATTCACCAACGCAGGATGGCTTGGGATGAGCCTAGAAAAACCAGCGAGAATGAACTGGGGAGGAGGGCTAGAGAGTCCCTGAATCATAGAGTTGGAGGGCCTCGAAGCTCACCTAGTCCAGGGGTCTCCAACCTTGGTAACTTTAAGACTTGTGGACTTCAACTCCCAGAATTCCCCAGGGAGAATAAACCGGGATTTTAGATTTTTTTGATCTAGAATTCTGGGAGTTGAATTCTAGTCCCGTGATGGCGAACCTATGGCAGAGCCATTTGTGCTGGCACACAAGCCGCAGGCAAACTCCTCTCCTCTGCTTGTGTTTTACGTTTGGAAGAGATTTCTTTTCAGGTGGGCAGGGGCAGTAGAACTCCTTAGCATCAGAGCGTGTTAATAATAATAATATAGAAAATACTGATGCTCTGATGGTAATTTCAAAAAATCCTTTCTTAGTGAGCACCTAGAAGCCAAGAGGAACATACATGGCAAATTTCAAGTTTGTAGACTTTATTGTTCTGGAGATTTTGTAATGATGTGCGAGTGATATTTTGCTTTTATACATATAATAGAAGATAAGGACTACATGGGAAAAAGAAACTGATTAGTAAATATTTTGATGGTTATATCATTGATGTATATATGGAAGATAGTACACCTTTTAATAATGATTGATATTATCTAACATATGTTTGTATGTTGATACGATTATAATGATTATGATGTTTACATTTGAACACTTTGGACACCTAGAAAACACATTGTTCAATATAGAAATGGAACTTGCGACATAAAAACAATAAAAAAATTTTTTTTAAAAAGAACAAAGAGGTAAAAAAGAAATGAAAGAGAAAAAAATGGATTTAAAAAAAGCATTGGTAGCACACTTACGTGTCCAGCATGGCTGGGTCAGCAAAAACAGAGAAGAGGTCCTTATCCTGCAGGACTCCTGTGAGATAAAAAGAACAGGATCACTAATGAGCAAATGCAGAGAATATTATTTCAACTGAAAAATAAGGAAGCTGCAAAACCCAGCAAACCTTCTTGGGAGTTGGAAGATTAGGCATATTAAAAGTCTGATGTCTCATCTTTCCTGCTGCTTTTTTCTCTCTTCTTCTTCCTATCTTTAAGATGCACAGGTGAGGTTGAATGTTCACTATTTTCTTTTCTTTTTTCCCAGGTTTTTTCTTTCTTTCACCCTCCCCACAAAATTCTCCCGGCCTTTAAGGAGCCTCTTTTATAAATCCAATTTAGAAAAATTATCCAAGCCGCTCTCTTGATGGTGTATACATAAGGTAGCCCTCCACTTATGACCCCATGGAGACCAAATTTATGTCATTAACTGAGACCTTTCTTAAGCGAGTTTTGCCCCTTAATGGTTGTGAAGTGCAGTGGTTAGAATACGGTACTGCAAGCTACTTCTGCTGACTGCAGTTTGGCAATTCAGTTCTATCCTTCCCTCCCTCCCTCCATCCATGCATCACACCAAGAGCTGTGGTGGCACAGTGCTTTGTTTGATCCTGATGGGCTCAAGGTTGACTCAGCCTTCCATCCTTCCGAGGTGGATAAAATGAGGACTCAGACTGTTGGAGGCAATTAAACTGCTTAGAGAGGGCTGTAAAGCACTAAAAAGCGGTATATAAGTCTTAAGTGCCATTGCTATTTTCCTTCCCTCCCTCCCCTCCCAGTGGTTAGAATGCAACATTGCAGGATAACACTGCCCATAGTCTAGAGTTTGATCCTGATCAGCTCAAGGTTAACTCAGTCTTCCATCCTTCCGAGGTGGATAAAATGAGGACCCAAATTGTTGGGGACCAGAGGCTGGCTCTGTAAACCGCTTAGAGAGGACTGTGAAGCACTGTGAAGCGGTATATAAGTCTAAGGGCTATTGCTATATGTCTCCACGACTCACCCAAAGCGATGGGATCACTGCTGAGGCCGGGGGTGGCGACAATGATCTGATCTAGGGATTCCTTGTTCCCTAACATCTTGAAGACCTGCGTGGGAAACCAAAGGGAGATTCACCCTAGGGAAACAGCAGACTGGATCCTGGAGAAGTCCAGTTGTGTGGAAGAACACTCACTGAATCTCTGAAGACGGGGCTGCTGTGTAAAGCTGTGTGCAAGACACGAAACTCCCGCACGGCAGCCATTTTATCCACTGGTTCTGTAGAAGAGACAAGCAGTCAAAGAGATTGGACATGGTAACGCTCGAAAAGCTGCACGGAACGAACCTGTTAGGGCCTGCCAGCGGCCAGCAGAGCTGGCAGCAGATTCGAACAATGAGAAGGTTGGGGAGGAACATGGGCCAGTCCTGGAGTTTGGGAAAGGCTCTGATGAGGGCTCTGCATTGAAGGCAGGGATGGGGCCAGGGCTGTCTGACAGTTATCAGCTGCCTTCAGAGTTGGACATCAGTGGGGCAGAAGAAGAGCTGGAGCCTATTCCCAGTGTGCTCATGCACAGAGCTGCCAGAAGAAGGGAACAACTAAGGAACAAGGGCCGACTCGGGAGTAAAGGTAGACAGTAAATGGCCCCTCCCAGAGGGAATAAAAGAACAATGGTATTTATGAAGGTCGCAGCGTCCCGGAGGGGGTCCTGCGTTCCCCTTTTGAGACCTTCTGACGAGGCAAGTCGATGGGGAAGCTTACTTAACGACCGCGTTATTCGTTGAAGAACGGTGGGGATTTTCACTTAACAAAGGTGGCGAAAAACATAAAATGGTGGCAAAGCAAAATTTCTTACTTAGCAACATACATTTGGGGCTCCCTCACAGTCATAAATCAAGGACTACCTCCAATAAAACCATTAAAAAAAGCAGTTTGAGATCCAAAGTGGGGAATTTACCTGGTTTTTGCTCCGGTTCGGGCCAGGCTTTCCGGAAGACGTGGATAGTGGATCCAGACTGAATCCCGTAGAATTCGAGCGTTTGCTCATCCCGCAGTTTCCGCCCACAATAGATCAGATCTGAAGAGGAATGAGACTCGTATTCAAACCCCCCCACCCCAAAAAAAATCTGGCTTATTGTACACGGTGTGGGATTCAATTTTTTTACTACCGGTTCTGTGGGCGTGGCTCGGTGGGCGTGGCAGGGGAAGGATATACTGCAAAATCCCCATTCCCTCCCCACCCCACTAACCTGCTTTCCAGCTCCGTTCTCCTGTGCAGGGTAACCAAAGGAGACCCAGCCACTCATCTGGGATTCAGGAGGCAGAGAATAGATGGGGTTGGCGGGGCCAGTTAGAGGCGGGATTGGCTGGTTCTCCGAACTACTCAAAATGTCCGCTACCATTCTCCATTCCATTCTCTTTATTCTATTCTATTCTCTATTCTATTCTATTCTATAATCTATTCTATTCGCTATTCTATTCTCTATTCTATTCTATATTCTATTCTATTCTATATTCTATTCTATATTCTATTCTATAATCTATTCTATTCTCTATTCTATTCTCTATTCTATTCTCTATTCTATT